TTGGCAGCACTGTTGGACTACAATGCCTGAAAAAACAAGGGCTGCCACAGATGCTGTTGAGCACCCCAGCCCCACGAGATGTGCATCAGTAAGAAACAGTTATGCATAATGCTTCACTTGGGAAGGCTGGATGACACTGGGACCAGCAGACTCAACTGGCGCCACATGGAAGGGCATTAATATCAAATTTCAGGGCTCAGGTGAGCATCCCTTGCCCAGTTTAGCCTTTCGCACTGTTCAAGATCAGCCCAGTCCCAAACAGCCCCTTGAGCACAGATATTTCACAGAAACTCTTGGAACTAAGATTGTCTGAACATATGTGAGCAGTCACCCACCATTTTGGAACAGATGGCACACTCATCCTCCTCACCTTGTCTAACCCTCACATGCTTCTTTTCATTTGCTGCGTGCAGATGGGCTTCCATGCCACCAAGTGCTACATTTTACAGCTGTACTATGAACTCAAGTTTGGGAAACTCTTTGTGAAAAACATTGCGCTAAAAGTAATTGTAAACTGATGAGAAAACCCAGACTTCACTGCATTTGTTACCCAGCATATGAAAACCCAAGACAGCAGCGCAGAAAGCTCAAGCAGTGCTTCAGAGAGCAAGCAGCTCAGTTCACCTCTTTGGTCTTTGCTGGTACTTTGAAATTTTGGTACTGCAAGATCAAAACAGGGTAGAAGTAATGCCATGCAACTCCCCTACTTACTCTTCAAACATGTGGGCTGCTCCGAGCTGCTCCATCATGGAACAGAATCGTTTTTCTTCATCATCATCTGCTGGGTCCAAGTCATCTGACCAGCCTGACTCAAAGGTCTCCTCGTGTCTGGAGTGATCCATTCTCCCAGCCCCTTGACACAATTCAATGCCTATTAATTTTCCTGGTGGAAGGAGAAGGAAAGAAGGAGAATAAAGAAAGTCAAATTGGATGTCATGCAATAAGCTGTTATTTAAATGGCAGCCCAACAGAGCTCCATGAGAAGCTGCCTGCACGCTGCTGGTGTAGAATACAGCTCCTGGTCAGTAAAGAGCCTCTGTTCTGATGTTCTGAGTGGTGTCAGCATCCAGTCTGCAATGCTGGGACTGACACTGGCTCTCAGCCCAACAACAGACTGTTAGGGCTCTGCTGACATCTGTGTGAAGATGATCTACCACCTACGGCCTTGGATTCTCACCATGCGGCTTTAGGTCTCTTCGTGCCCATGGAGTGGTGCTGTGGGTTCAGTTGCCAGTGATCCCACAAGCTCCCTCTGGGACTGCAAGCCCGGCACTGAACAGCACCATGCCTCAGTTCCCCAGCTTAAAAGTGAGGAGATCATTACCCTTCCCTTCTCATGTGCTACATCTGTTCTGATTCAAGTGCTACAGGACAAGGACTGCCTCTTGCTAGAATTGCATAAGGTGTCTAAACAAAACAAAATTAGCCTCCAAACATCCCTTCCACCCCATCCCACGTACAGATGGCTTCCAGCTATCTGGATCCTGTTTCCTGCCGAGACACTAATGCCATGAGAACTTCATGCTATGCAAGGCATGTGACAGATACTGGTGCTAGGAACAAATTCTTCTCAAAGAAACAAATCAAGCAATCCTATCCAAAACGCAGGCCCCCATCCTGTATACAGAGGTCAGACCTCCATTAGCAGCTGCTCTTCCTTTCCAAAACGTATCTGCTCAGTTCAAAAGGAAGAAATGACATCCCAGCTACAGGGCCAGGAGCCAAGGATGTTCAGAGCATGGATGAGAACATGAAGCTACTCCAAGGGGAAAAAATATCTGCTATTTGTGTACTTCAAGTCACTTAACTTGACCGCTACTTAGCTCCGTATGTCCAAAACCTAGCAGCTTCTCTCCCGCTCTTAAAATGTGCTCTGAAAAAAACTTGCAGTGTGGAGATACAGGCCCTACTCAGATTAAAACCTGAGGCTCAGGCAGTTAATTAAGGAGATGGGCTTAGATTAGGCACTTTGGAAGTCTGCTTTAAAGAAAGAGTCATTATGTGTCATTGTCTTTATTGCAGCTGGGAAAATTGGGGTAGAGAATGATCTGAAGATTGTTTTGACATCCTAGAAGGATCTGATTGCTTTAAATTGAACATTTTAAAAGTATGCTCTTTTGTCTGTTGTGCAGATGCACCCTGTAACCTCCCAGAGGCCATGCAAGGAGCCCTCTCAAGGAGCAAAGTTGATTGCAGCTTGAACCGCTTCCCTTGATTTCCCCCCTGCACACTCAGAAGGAAGACAGCAATAAGCCAGGCCAGACTCTTGAGTTAGGGGCAAAGATTTCAATGAAGCCAAACACAAAGAACAACCACAAAGAAAAGAAATGCAGAAATTAAGTGTTTTGCCTTAACTGGAGCAAATCCCACAGAGCCAGGCTACCAACACAAGGTGGTACCTGACAATTGGTGGCTGACACAGAAAAATCTTGCCTACCTCTGCCAGCAATGGCAGTGAGGTAGGTACCCTCATGATGTCCATCTATGGCTGTGGCTGGGAGAAATGCCTCAAACAATGAGATTTGGGAATAAGCAAGTCATAACACAGAGGGCACTGTGGATACCAAGGTGCCCAAACAGCAGCTGTTCACCTTCTACACAACACTGGGCAGGAAAGCCCATCACTCCCGAGATGAGTATTGTTTCCGGCAAAGGCAGTAGAACCAGCCAACAAGGCTTCACGCCCACAGGCAGAAACAGGCATAGTCAGCAAGCACTCAAAACATTCCCAGAAGAGGCTGGCCCAAGACACAGCTTTCCATGTTGTGG